GCCGCTTTTATCCAAAGCGACTTAGATCTGAGGACTAAATCAAACAAGTCATTGTGAAGAGGGCATATGGACTTGAAACCTTGTTTGTGAATGTGTCTTGCTTGTTTTGTCTCTGTTGCATTTAATACATATATTCCTACAACACTTTCAGTGCATCTAAGGTTTTTGGCTTTATTACCTTTTCCACATGCATCCTATCTAATTTTTTTTTTAATTTCTCTCTCTCTTTTTTCCCCTCCCACCAACCATTCAGCTCGACTTTTAAACAAAACGTGGCCAATCATCACGCCCACTCACACAAAGCTGCAGGAGGGGTGAAGAAAGTGACTGGTGTTGGAGGAACAACCTATGAGATTTCAGTATGAACTACTGACAAGAAAGAATCAGGATTCACTCTGCGGTTTTAGCCTCGATCGGATATGTGTAAAGCTGCTCAACCACACATGCAAAAAAAAAAAGCATTATAAAGGACTACAAACACAAATCGTAAGTGTTTCCCAGTCAAACTTCATCAGTCACTGTGGAGGACATACACTGAGAACGTGGACCAGTGAAGACGAGTCTTACAGCGTTTGGTTTTTTGAATACCAATATGGTACACAAATAACACAGACTTTCATAGTTATATAAAGAATCATTTGGTACTTCAATGTATTACCTATCGATTTGTACACATGAACTCTGGACATTCAGCCTTAGTAGGCGGGACCATGTGAGACACACTGCTGTCTCACCCAGAATGACGTCAACAGAAACCACAAACCTCTCAGCAGTCAGCCAATAAGCATTTGAAACATTTAGGACATGAATCACTGTTCAATCTTGCATATTCAACAGTTTCAAACCCTTGAAGGGATAGTTCACCTAAAAACTAAAACCCTGTCAACCTTTATCAACCTCATGTTGTTTCAAGACAGTTTGACTTTATATTTTCTGTGGAACACATAAGAAGATTATTTTAACAAATGCTCTTTTCCAGACAAATGTGTCCAGTGTCAGCAAATATAAAAAGAGCACCATAAATGTGGTCCTTACGAGTTCTAAAGTAAAAAGTAGGGATGCACAATATATATATATATATATATATATATATATACATTATTAATGTCATCGTTATCGGCCCGATAATAAAATGTGGCCGGTATATTAAAGCCTATAAATAACAGAACAATAATATATAAATAATAGTTCACCAAGATGGTTTTGAATTGCTTGAAATATGATTGGAATCACTTTAAAAAAGGAAAATACAGTGAAGTGCAACATACTGTCTGTCATATAGGCTACATAAAATTATAATGAGAACATTATAATTGTGTGCTTGGGACATGTAGTTTAATGGTGAGACTTTTGTTTTTGTAACCAGGCTCTCAAAAATTATATATAGATTTGGATTTATCGGCCCAATATATCAGTTATCAGCTCTCAAATATAAAGAATTATCGGTATTGGCCAAAGTTTTTATATCGGTGAATCCCTTGTAATAAACCTGTTCCTTACAAAAGTCATTATTAACTGCAAATTCTGCCATCAGTCACAACTCTCAAATTTTCGCATATACATATTCAAACTTTGAGCACAAAATGCAAGAATTGCATTTAGTGGTGTTGACAAGACATTTGAAATGTGCATGTGTGCTTATCACAGAATTGTAATTTTTGGGTGAACTATTCCTTTAATTTATTTCTTAGTTCTTTTTTTTCCGTTTGTTATTTTATACAGGTACAGATGTATATTATAAGTATTACGTTTGATAAAAAAGATAATATTAAAATGCAGGCATATATGATGTATGATTGTTTGTTTTAGGTGGGAAGGTGTTTGTCAGATATATAAATATATATAAATGGCTGCATCAGCCAGATGTAATTCTCAGCCAAAGAGACTCGTAGATGACAGATAGCACACTCGGCAAGTAGGAGAGAATGTATCTGTAAAGACACAAGTTACTAAAGCACAACATTTTAATCGAAAGGTCATTTAGATTAAGTACTGAAGATATTGTATGCAAATTGTAACTTTGTGTCAGCGTGTCCACCAATCAAGGGAGATACTCTCTTGACACATGGTCACCCAATCACAAGAGAGTTTATTTATTCAGCCAGAGGAGGCCAGTGCAAGTACAGTACATGCTGGATGCACCATCATATGGATGGGGACATTGATTTTGAAATTTCTTTCTTTCTTTCTTGATTTTTTTTTAAACTGGAGATTGGTTAAAATAAACAACCAGAGTGCAGTTATCTCCTCATAGACTTCTAAGTTTGATTGCATTCGTCAATGTGCGAGAATGAGTGTGAAATATTAGTTTAACTTACCTGTCTGTTGTACAAGAGCACATTCCAGCTATCTTTTTGGTTTAGATCAGAGGTCATTCACGTCTTTTGTTAGCTCTTGAGGTCTGAGGACCAGCGGCCGGTCAGTGTAGGATACAAAAGCCGCTTATGCAGAGACACATGCAAGGTTTTTTTTAATCTTTTGTCATTTCCACCATGGCCTTATGATGCCTTTTTAACTGTTATCAACGGTATTTCAGTCTGTATACTGGATCTGACATGACGGTTAGATTGTTGTGTTGAGTTTTGGGGAAGAATGCCGACTCTTTTTAACCCTTCTGTATTCCTTTAATGCCGCTGACTCTGAGTCATATGAGCAACACATTTTCAACAGAACAATAAATGATTCAAGAGTGAACATAAGCTAAGCTTTGTCATTTTACATATTTTTAAACCATTTTGTCATGATGTATAATGCATATCAGTAGGTGATTGAGGTGTAAAGATTCAGTTCGGACACCTGCTTCACCAATAACAAACACAATCTGTAAATGCATCTCTTGCTCTGGAGAATTCAGAAAGTAACTGATGGTTTAAGTGCTTTTGGGATTTGGTTAAGTACACGTGGTAATCCTTTAGCAAAAGCCACTAAGGCTGACACAAATCTTCTAGTTCAATACCTTTCTGAGGTCGGAGAATATGCAGACGCAAGACTAAATAAGCTAAAAAACTTGACTAAAGTAAAGTAAGGACACCAAACTTTGAGGCAGTAGTAGGCACTAATCAAAAATAATTTTTTTTTTCAGATTCTCTTAAAGAGAAGCCTTGTAGTATACTCTAAATTGAATTGGTTGTGCATAAAATAAAACATTTTCTTTATATTTATTGAGTGGTTCTTGTATATGGAGTCCCAAACCTGATCAAATTAAAAATAATTAAGTGTAATAATAGGAAAATAAATAAAGAAATACACTCACCTAAAGAATTATTAGGAATAATAATGTGTTTGACCCCCTTTCACCTTCAGAACTGCCTTAATTCGACATGGCATTGATTCAACAAGGTGCTGAAAGCATTCTTTAGAAATTGTGCTGAAAGCACAACAATTTCTATTGTGCTGAAAGCACAGTTTGAAATGATTCAGGCTTTGTGACATGGTGCATTATCCTGCTGAAAGTAGCCATCAGAGGATGGGTACATTGTGGCCATAAAGGGATGGACATGGTCAGAAACAATGCTCAGGTAGGCTGTGGCATTTAAATGATGCACAATTGGCACTAAGGGGCCTAAAGTGTGCCAAGAAAACACCCCCCATACCATTACACCACCACCACTAGCCTGCACAGTGGTAACAAGGCATGATGGATCCATGTTCTCATTCTGTTTATGCCAAATTCTGACTCTGCCATCTGAATGTCTCAACAGAAATCGAGACTCATCAGACCAGGCAAATTGTAGTCTCTTTTTTCTATTTGTAGTGGAGATGAGTGGTACCCGATGGGGTCTTCTGCTGTTGTAGCCCATCCGCCTCAAGGTTGTGCGTGTTGTGGCTTCACAAATGCTTTGTTTCATACCTCGGTTGTAACGAGGGGTTATTTCAGTCAAAGTTGCTCTTCTATCAGCTTGAATCAGTCGGCCCATTCTCCTCTGACCTCTAGCATCAACAAGACATTTTCACACCACAGGACTGCCGCATACTGGACGTTTTTCCCTTTTCACACCATTCTTTGTAAACCCTAGAAATGGTTGTGCGTGAAAATCCCAGTAACTGAGCAGATGGTGACATACTCAGACCGGCCTGTCTGGCACCAACAACCATGCCACATTCAAAATTGCTTAAATCCCCTTTCTTTCCCATTCTGACATTCAGTTTGGAGTTCAGGAGATTGTCTTGACGAGGACCACACCCCTAAATGCATTGAAGCAACTGCCATGTGATTGGTTGATTAGATAATTGCATTAATGAGAAATTGAACAGGTGTTAGTAATCCTTTATGTTGTGTGGTGAGTGTTTATTATTTGATAAAATGAAGACAATTACAATACTAAGTTTAGTCCTGAATTAATTATTGTATTACTTTTTTTGTATTTATTTTAATGTTATTTTTAACTTAATATTTTATTTATACATAAAATGTGTGCATTGATGTATCTTTATTTTTATCTAAATAAAATAAAAATATATTTCTTTCTATATTTATCTCCATTCTTATAGAGGCGAGTAAGAAAAAAGTGTTTTTTTATTTCAAAATTCAGAAATATACAGTTGCAATTGTGTAGAAGAGAAGTCGTAACATCAGTAGAGATATTTAACAGTTAAAAATATCATAATGCTGGTTAATAATAAAACAATTAATCTTACAGTACAGAATACGTTAACAGTCCAGTTGTGTATGAATATAAGACAATGACAAAATGGTTTTAATTGGTTTTAATCAAACCAATTCAAAGTTAAACAGAGCTTCATGTTTACTTACAATTAAGAGTTAATTGACCCAGAAATATAAATTATCTTATCATATACTCACCTTGCTGATGTTCCAAACCTGTATGCCTTTTTTTTCTATGGCTCACAAAAAAAAAAAAAAAACATTTTTTTGAAGAATGTTACTAAACGTAACCAAACAGTTATGGTTACCATTGACTTCCATTGTGTGAACAAAAAAATCTCATGTTCCACAAAAGAGGGTAGGTTTGGAATGATAAATGATGACAAAATTGACATTTTAGGTGAATTATCCCTTTAATTAAAATGTAAATCCAGAAGAATCAGGTACGCATCAGTGGATCATCACATAGTTACGGAGCAGTGATGATGCTCATGCTTTCTTGGATCGCCAATCAACTGAAAAGAAAATATTTATAGACATAAATATATCAGCTAGATTCAAAAATGAACGTTTAACCAGCCAAAAAACAGAGCACTAACACATATTTCAAGAAATCAATCATTTTATTCAGGGTGTGTGCAAAAAGTGGCAAACACACTTAATCATGGGGCGTAAATGCATGCTGATCTGGCAGCTGGCAGTACCAGGCAACTAGTGTCATCATCTGTCTCTCAATCCTTAAACATGCCAAAACCCCATCTGCCAGTGTGCTCCAGTATTACAGCATTGAAGCTCTCCTATCCCAGAATCCTCTGCCCGGGCATCAGAGCCCAGCCAACACAGACAAACAAAAAGACCTCAGACGCTTGTGAATGCAGACACAGATCAGGCTCATTCACAGACGGTGACTACCAGAGATGGGAACAGATAGTCTCAGAGGGAAGAGAAGGCTTACGTTTTCTTCTCTTTGTCTTTTTTCGTGGCAGAGGAGCCTTGAAGAGACTGTAGGGTTTCTGCAGCCACTTTCCTCCTGTTGAAGGTGTTCATCTCCTCTTCTAAATCTCTACGCTTCTCCTCCAGGTTCCTCTTCTCCTCCTGATGTGTGCGTTTCAGCATCTCAAATCTTTCATGAAGCTGGGAATGCAAAACAAAAGTTCATTTAATGAGATACTCGCTTTTATTTTATTTTTGCAATAAATTCAATCATTTATCATTTAAATAATTCTGTTAATGTTTAATAGATTGACACGCCTAGTTCAGTGCTGAGATGCTCGCAAATTTATTTTTATTTATATTTTTTTGTTTTGTATTTTTTTAAGTTTATGAAAATGTGGTTTTATTCTATGATGATATTAGATATTGTATGACTTAATTAAAAGTTACTATTATTTAAAGACTTTATTTTATTAAATAAAAAGATTTTTTTATATATATATACATTATAATATATATAAATTAATATATATATATATATATATACATTTTATATATATATTTAAAAGGTGAAAAGCATTTAAAGATTTGATTTTATGATTTAATTTGAAGTATTTAGAATCCTATGCTTATTTTATCATTTAATAAAAAGTGATTTATTTCATTATTTATTCTACTCCAAGGCAGTCTCTGCACCAAAAGCAGTTGAAGTTGTAGTTTTACATGACCATTTATATTAAACTAACACTAGTACACATATAATACTATCTTGAAATTATACAAAAAAAAACATTTTTCATTAAAACCAGTGGTTTATACCTCTCTCTCCTTCTCTTTTAGCTCTGCTTCTGTCTCCTTCACTTTGTTGACAAACATCTGTCTCATCTGCTCCTCCTTGAGTTGTAGCTCGCCGATAAATTCTCTCCTCTTGGCCACGTATGTCTCCTGTAGACTGATAGTGAGAAGAGAAGAATTAACAGACATTTCATAGCACTTGATGCAATGAATGTGTATGTAATGTTTCCATGATCATCATATATCAATTTACTGATTGTTTTACAGCAAGACTAGTAGAAGTTAGCGAGTCGTTGTAGAAGTGTCAGTACCTGAAGGGTTCGCTGTCAGGGTCCGTGTCTTTAAAGCCCATCTCCTCCAGTTTGCAGCGGCGGTACAGCTCATAGTGTCTGGCGTGGGTCTGTTCCCTCAGGTCCAACATGTTGACACGGATTAGCATCTCTCTCAGCTTTACAAAGTCACAGTGACTCTCGTTCTCCACTGAGGACAAAGCCCAGACATCGTAATTTCATTAAAGTCACCATGAAATCAAAATTGACAATAGTTATTTTTTTATATTACAGCATTATAAATGATTTATCCATTGACATTATTATTTTAAAAAATATATTTTGCCTTGTAATCTTTTTTCTAACTCCCTCTTGCAGTGACATCTCTTGAGATGGCCTACTATACACTCTTAGAGAAGAAAAGGTTCTATATAAAACATTAAAAGGTTCTATCAGCGCTACATATTTGGAACCCCTAAAAGGTTCTATACACTCTTAAAAAAAGGGTTCCTCTTGGTTCCATCTAGAACCTCCTGGGGTTCCATACTTGGCCAATAGAACCTTTTACCAAAAAAATATGGTTCTATATTGAACCATTTTGGAGTTCCATATATGAAGCGGGGGATAGAACTATTTCTGGTTCTAAATAGAACCATAGCCTATAGCAAGCGAAAAACAGTAGGCCTATGTGACAAGAATAGTATGACTGAATTTACAGTACTCATAAATGAAGAGGCAAAAAGTACCCGATGGCATTCTTCCAGCGAGATTCTGAAATGTATTTAAGATGGACACTTCTTATTAGGCCATGAGAGAATATTTAGGAATGACAGTGAGGCGACGTAACTGACACTTGGTCACATGATAATGACAATATGGCAAATGTAGTACGTCCAGATTACATTCATACTACACTCACTCATACTACACAGGACATACTTTTTTAGTGGTCGCAAAGTAAGTACTTATTTAAATTAAGTACCTATTAAAGAGAGTATGTGATTTTGGATGCAGCTGATGTGTTTTTCGGTGTAAGGGCGGGACAACCTGTCACTCACATGAGATCGACCAATAGCAAACCACAACCATCCAATGGTCCAATTTGTTCCTGATAGACAAAATCAAGTCCCACCTTATTTTTTCATCGTTTCACTCTGATATGTCACAACTACCATGTCGATTCTACTTATAGAAATATTTCATCTTTACTGTCAGATTTTAGCAATTTAATGCATCCTTGATGAATAAAAGTATTAATATATATATATATATATATATATATATATATATATATATATATATATATATATATATATATTTAAATATACACAATTCCCTGTGGCTGGACAAGCATAATATACAAAGTAAAGTAATTGCATCCTTTGCTGTTCATTTGCATTTGCACTAAAACATTTACTAAATAAAAACGAGAGAAAACGGTAATGTTGTATTTTTTTTTCTAACCTAAAGTTAGACAATAATAATAGCTTTATCTGCTAGCAGCAGTACCTACCCTGTACCACTCCCCATGGATACTGTCTGGCTCGAACCATTTTGTTCCCAGTTTGAACCTCTTCATTGCTTCCAATCACAGCAAAAGGAAGATGCGCCTGCAACACAAGTCACTGGCTCAACATTCAAGATGCCACTATAGGAACATAGTCTGTATCTGTCGGATATGTATATTTTCTCAAGTTCCTGTTACATTCATAGAAGAGTTTATTTCAGTCACGGCTTCATCATCTGTTGGGAACTGGTAGATCTGAACACCATTGCTGACCAGTTCACTCATGATCTTGATCTTAAATTTTTGAAGCTCACTCTTGGAAATAGTGTCTGCCTTTGCAATGATGGGAATAATGTTGACCTGGTTGGGAAGGAAATATATCAAATGTAATATACAATAGAATAAATACACAATTTATATCCTGACAATAAATGACAAACACTTTCTAAATATGATACCTTGCTGTCCAGTTTCTTCATGGTGACTAAGTCCAGAGATTTCAGTGAATGTCCAGTGGGAGCAATAAAGTAGAGGCAGATATGGATGCGTGAATCATGATAGTTATAAAGGGAACGTTTAATTTTAAGCTCTTCTTCAAGGAAGTTTTCAAACTGGGCATCAATGTAGTCCACAATAGGTTTATAACTGCAGAGAAACAATGAAAGGTGTAAGATTTTGACTTGATCCTGACATTTCATTATCAATGTCATTTATATACGTTTCGGTGCATTTAAGCATTACCTTTCTTCTTTATTAATCTGGTCGCCAAAACCCACAGTGTCTACAATGGTCAGCTGCAAATCCACATTGCTTTCCTGTAGGTTGTACGTTCTGGGGCGTAAATGCACGCCGTTCTGGAAGTGGCTGGCCTCTTCATTTTCGAACGTTGTGTTAAAAAGTGTGTTCATTAAAGTGGATTTGCCTATCCCAGTTTCACCTGTAGAAACAAAGCAATCTTGCAATAATCTTAATATTTAAATGCCAGCTCTGCCGGGTTTTAAAAACTCTTCTTCCTCACCTACGCAGAGAATGTTGAAGCTGAATCCTTGGCTCACTGATTTGCTGACCAGCTGATCAGGAAGACTGTCAAAACCGACATGACCGCTGAGAGAGAGAGTCCTCATCTCCTCACACTGAGAAATTACAACACCAAGAAAGTTTGACTTGACATACCAGGAAAACATTGATAGTGTCATGATGAATAATTGGCAAAAGGTCTTTGTAAAAAAATATATATATATATATATATATATATATATATATCAAAAAGACATTAAAGTGCATGTAATCAAGCAAATAACATCTAACGAAACGTTAACGTTAGTAATACTCACTACAGAACACGAATTCCAGGGGGAGGAGTTGGGTCCAGATCCAACTCCTCCCACCTTACAAATAACTAAACCTCCCCCTAGTCTGCCCCCTGATCCCTAACCCCACCCCTAATCCAACTCATCTCCGCCCCCTGATCAATAACCCCACCACTAATCCTACTCATCTCCGCCCCCTGATCCCTAACGCCACCCCTGATCCTACCCATCTCCGCCCCCTGATCCCTAACCCCACCCCTAATCCTACCCATTTCCACCCCCTGATCCCTAACCCCACCCCTAATCCTACCCATCTCGTGTACTTGATACAAGTAAATGTAATAATACATTTGCATATAGTTGGGGTAAGAAAGGCTTTTATTATTATATATTATAATAATAAAATAAAATATTTTTATTATACATTACTTTTATTAAGCAATTAATTAAATTGATCAAAACTATAAGTGACCATAAAGACATTGTTACAAACAATTTCAGTCAAATTACTGTTCTTTTGTATTGTATTTTCTACTCATCAAATAATCCTGAATTAATGTGTCACGGTCTCCACAAAAATAGTAAGCTGCACAACCATTTGCTACAGCAGCAAATCACCATATCAGAAGGGTTTCTGAAGGGTCATGTAACACTGGAGACTGGAGTAATGATGCTGAAATTTCAGCTTTGGCCTCACATGAATACATTTCATTTTAAAATGTTTTAAAATAAAAACAGTTATTTTAAATTGAATAATATCTCACAATACTATCAGTACTCCATCACAACTGTCCCGCTTTTGCATTGTTCTCCCCAATATGTCTATTAATATATGAAGAGTTCAGATGCAAATGCCTCTAAATGCCATTTTAAATTTTCTTCTTTAATGATGATTTTTATCAAACTTGTATATTTAAGTTCAGTAATTTCACTTAAATGGCAATGATAATTACCTATTAATTGTTATGTGAAATTACTGAACTTATATACAAGTTTGATAAAAATCATCATTAAAGAAGAACATTTAAAATGGCATTTAGAGGCTTTTGCATCTGAACTCTTCATATGGAGATAGTGATCAAAGCGGAGAACCAGACCCATGTCATTTTGTAACTGAGCATATTAGTATGCATGGGCCAGGGTTTGAGTCTCGATCACAGAGAAAAGCAGCATGCTGAGGTATTCAGAGATCCTCACTCTGTACAAACACAAGGAAGTGTTTCACACAGCCTTCATCTGTTCCACTGCCCAAGTATTCTTAACACACACACTGGGGCACAAAGGGCTCTTTTATGCAGCCTGTGTATCCAGCATACTGAAGGTTTCCACTGCCATTGCCCTTAGAAACATCCTTTAAGTGCAGGGTTAAAAACGTATTATTTATTCTAAAGCATAAATAAACAGTATTGGCATTATGCTCTTGCAATGTCAAAAAACATCACAAATATTATAAGGTAGAGACTGAGGGGCATTGTGATAGAGGCTGACTGAAGCGGCAACCAACAGCAATGCTGATCTGCTTACAAGAACTAATCAGCTTTAAATGACTTTGACAATGGATTTAGACCCTAATGTTAAACTATAAATATAAACTATAGGCATATGAATGCTTTTTCATATTGTGAAAAAGCTATTGTGCTATTGTCTTCAGCTTCACTATTGTAAAGAATCACAACAGTGATTTAGAGTAGGACCAAATATTAGGATGAAGTCCAACTCGAATAAAACTCAAGCTCACGCTTTTCTCCATTGCAACCAACATATTAACACGACGTTGCATATAACAACATCTTAGCACATAAACATAAGGAAATTATGAAATGTGAAAAAAGTTAATTCTTGACCAACTATAATCCTGTCGTCATACCTCTCGATGCACACATTGCACTTTATCAAAAAATAAACATGCATGTTAAACTGTAAATAATATGTGCCGTAAATGAAAGATGTAAATAAATAACTTACAGAATAGATGTTTACATCAGTGGCAGCCATGCAGATAGTATAGGCTACTGACACTGACAGTATGCTCTCTCTCTCTCTCTCTCTCTCTCTCTCTCTCTCTCTCTCTCTCTCTCTCTCTCTCTCTCTCTCTCTCTCTCTCTCTCTCCCCAACATGATGGACACTTGATGGAAACACCCCTCGGCTTAATTTAAATGCTGCTCGTCTTGCCCCAGGTTAACTCCACACTGCACTTACAAACGCACTTGTTTCAGAAAATACTTTTTCTTCAAGTGTCCTTCAAGCCTCAGTTCTGTGCAAGATCCTCCACAGATCGCTGGCAACAAAAAAAAAAAAAGAAAAACCCAGTCTTCAAAATGACTTGATTTTTTTAAATTTATTTTTATAATATATAATTAAACAATTATCATCTGTACAGTTTAGTGTAAAGTAATATTGTTGTTGTAAACTGCCTTGTGGACTCAATTTGACGTCCCTACACGTCCAGCAGGTGTCGCCCTTTATCCGTTTTATTTACACCTTATGTCAATCAGCCACTAGAAGGAGATATTTGGACACTCAGGACGGAAACATTTAAAAAAATAATACAATTTCAAAATTAACTAAATATTAAGTTATATAAATGTATATTTTTGAGCTTTTGACTTGACATACCAGGAATAGCTACTTTTAAGGAGATTTTAGAGTACGATAAGGCAGTTTTTAACATATTTTGAAAAATTTAAACGAGTCAACGACATTTTGAATCGCACCACAGCCAGCTGACGGTAAGTCAACAGTATCTGATCTATTAATTGTTCGATCAGTATCTATTGTTGAAAAACTGCAAGAAAAACACAGCTCTAAAATCTAGTGTGTGATACAACCGATACATTAACTAAATAATGACAAGCTGCAAAAACGACCCATGGCTTTATAATACTCTTTATTTAGGTAATCCACACAGTACAGTGTAATCTTCACAGTACAATTTCCCAATTCACTGTAAAATAATAAACATTTTTTTTAAATATTCATCTTGAAAATCTTACACCCATCTCATTCACTGTAAACAAATTATTGTACGATTCATAGCAACTTGTTCATTTAAAGAGTAGACTAATGAGTCACACCTGCCACCCCAGTGTATTTTGTTCCACGTGTGCAGACTTCTTGAATTAAGTTATTGCTGATGGGATCAGGAAATAAACGTTTGCTGTGTTTAATGCACAAGGGAACGAATTCATTGGCATTTCACTTAGTATATAATTAATGCTAAACTGTCTAAAGATCATAATGGCTGTTGTGATTCTCCTGAACAAACCAGCAGTCCTTGAGCAGCTTTATGTCAAATCAGAACAAGAACAAGGACTGTTTTTCACAATTAGAACAAAAACAAATAGTGGTTACCAATATAACCACCAGCATATTCACAGAAATGGTATGTGCTCTTAGTTTGATTACATTACTGCCAACACTACATTCATGAACTGAACAAATGTGGCACATCAACAGTCTCACAACAACAATAATCCGAGCGCTCAGGCTGTTACACTCTCTTAGTATGCTACGTATTAAACATTAAACATATCTAAATACCTCAACACATGAAGACTTAGTCAATTTAATGGAAAGTTCACAAAGATTAACATCATTAATTCTAAAAATATATAACATAGCCAAAAGTACATGGACACCTGTACACAATATGCAATTTTTAAACTCCTAATTTCAAAATATTAAACATTAACTGATCCGTTTGCTAATATACCATATTTCACTCATCTAGGAAGGCTTTCTACGAGTGTGTTTGATCCAGCGATGGGACAGAAAAGAACAGGGAGTTTTGCAGACCAATCAACATAGTTCAAAAAATGTGGTAAGTCAGTTCTTTATGGATCTTGGGCATGTCACTGTATGGAGTTGCATTAAGATTTGGCCTAAGAAATAACTGAAATGGCAAACCTGTTCATTCGAAGGAGCTGTCCACAAACTTTTGGCCATGTAGTGTAGATGGAAAATAGGAACAGGATTTATGGAAAGGCAATGGTGCACTTCATAAATGGAAAATGTACACTTCAGATTTTTCTTTAATATATTATATTATTTATATATAAAATCGCTATATGGATGTTTCCTTTCTCAAAATTGGTGGGAAAGGATACAGAAAAAATGAGAGTAGTATTAGCAGGTGTCATGTAGATTGTTTTGTGTGAGGACATTAACATATGTCACACAAAATATGGCACATGAGAATTTTTCAAGGGTGAACCAAAGTAAATGGTCGTACATTAAACAGAAAACAGGTGAGGCTTGACAAAATTGTGTAGAAAAACAATGCATTTCCTTGAACTGCTAGAGGAACAGACTTTGGAACAGTCAACGAGAATACGTTGAACTTTAACCTCACACTTTTTTCACTTACAAAAAGTTTGTTCATGCACCATCGACAGGCAGAGGAAATTATATAAACATACGCACTATTCTTGTATAACACCCTAAGAGTGAAACTCAAATACTGAGGATAGTAAAATAGATAAAACTCTTATTAAAACTCATGCAGTAGTTTATCGGTTTATTAAACCTGCATCTAAGGAAATTTGCAGCAGAGGTTTGTATTTGGCAACGTTTTAAACGGATTGCACTATTATCATAATACAAGACGTCCCTTGACTTTTCTTGTAACTGAAATTAAATGAAATTTGGCAATACTGTATAAACTGCAACCATCATAAAGAGTTAAACACGAAATACTGACAACAATGCAATGCAGACTAATAAAAAAACAAGGTCAACATCTGCCATCTTTGATCCTTACTGAAAATGACATTGAGTGGCACATGGAATAATAATTTTCAATAATCTGGCAGCAAACTGAATTATTTCATAAATGAAAGAAAAAAAATACTAAACGTATATACATGTCAGACAAAAGACCGGCAAAAATTGGCAACGACAATAAGGATTTAGCTTAAAAACAATTAAAACATCCTACAAAACGACTGAGTTGGTATGTCCTGGAGAGGAACGGGTGAACTTTGGCACACAAAAGATGTTTTTGATGGTACGTGAAACCATTACAGTAGAGAGGAGATTCACCAACGTTTGTCTTTACAGTCCTTTGTTGAAGTAGACCGTCTCTATTCCAGGATGACTGGCTCGAATCTTCTCCTGCAGCTCTGGTTCCAAGCGGCTCACTGCCATAGAGCTGGATGAACAAATTGGAATTATGAAATGAGTCATTCTGAAATTATTCAAAAGATTCCAAAATAATACATTGATACTTTTAGTTCCAAACTGTTCTGAGAACTTTCTCACCTCTTTTGTGGGAATAACGCACAACACAATGGGGTTGCAAACACAAGGCTAAGAAGAAGAAAGTACAAAAGAATGGGTCACAAATTCTTGAATGTTTTTAACAAGATAACAGTTTAGTAGACCATCAATCTATCTTTGGCAACTCACCAAAACCCAACTAAGCCAACTTGAATGGGTGCACTCATCCACGGAAACCTCTGAAAAAATAAAAAACGGGGGAGGGGAAATCAACCTGGCAACAAAGCCCATGATCCTATGGGGCCATTGTAAGGGCTAAAGCATTCAAGCAGATTGTACACTGTAGATGGTTATGTGTTAAAGGGTTAGTTCACCCAAAACTGAAAATTATGTCATTAATGACTCACCCTCATGTCGTTCCAAACCTGTAAGACCTCCGTTCATCTTCAGAACACAGTTTAAGATATTTTAGATTTAGTTTGAGTGTTTTCTGTCCCTCCATTGAAAATATTCTGTACGATATACTGTCCTTGTCCAGAAAGGAAATAAAGACATCATCAAAGTAGTCCATGTGACATCAGTGGGTTAGTTAGTTACAATGTTTTGAAGTATTGAAAATACATTTTGGTCCAAAAATAACCAAAACTACGACTTTATTAAGCATTGTATTGTCTTCCGGTTCTGTTGTCAATCCGCGTTCAGTGACGCTGCTGACGTGTTATCAGTGCGCCAGAGCTTCGTTTACAGTCTGAGGGAGACGCACGCTGTACAAAACAATCTTCGCAAACATGTCTAAGGATGTCCACACAGAGGAAGACTTGCATTTTTTTGCCCAGCCATATTTATTTGAACCCAAATACACGGACGATCCAGATACACGTCATCAGCGTCACTGCGGACTCGTGAACGTGGATTGACCACAGAACCGGACGAGAATACAATGCGGAATAAAGTCGTAGTTTTTGTTATTTTTTGGACCAAAATGTATTTTCGATGCTTCAAAACATTGTAACTAACCCACTGATGTCACATGGACTACTTTGATGATGTCTTTATTTTCTTTCTGGACAAGCACAGTATACTGTACATACATTTTCAATGGAGCGACAGAAATCTTAAACTGTGTTCCAAAGATGAACGGAGGTTTTACAGGTTTGGGACGACATGAGGGTGAGTCATTTATTACATCATTTTCATTTTTGGGTGAACTAACCCTTTAAGGCTGAACAATTTTCATTAGGATTTTCAGTCATGTAAACAAAACATTTATAATGCAATTCTGAAATTACCTTGAGGAAGGCCTTCTTTTCCAAAGAGTTCATTAAAAATGGAGGGATTGCTATAGGACGAAAACAATTAAGTTAGATTTCTTGCTTGCAATTACAGGGTCCCATAACCAGATATGCAACATTGCTCTGCATATGACAGAGGGGGATGATAGTTTGAGAAAACTCGTGAAAAACCTGATCATATATTTTATTATATATAAAATCCTTAGACTTAATTTCTGTGTTAAAGGTGCATCAAGCAATTTCTGAGAAACATATTTGATATTTGAAATCAACTCAAACAAACACACATCCTCCATTATTGCTCCACCCCCAAAATGCACAAACGTGAGTGGAGTGAAGCAAAATAATGCTTCACGGGAAATAAAGCGAAGATGATGAATGAACGAGTGGACAAAGATACAAACAAAAAAATGTACATACAATTTTTTTATACAGTAAACCAGTGTTTCCCAACCCTGTTCCTGGCGGCACACCAACACTGCGCGTATTCTTTGTCTCCTTAATCAAACACACCTGATTCAACTCATCAGCTCATTAACCCATCTGATTATGAGCTGATGAGTTGAATCAGGTGTGTTTGATATACGCGCAGTGTTGGTGTGCCGCCAGGAACAGGGTTGGGAAACACTGCAGAAAACAATAATGTTAAAGCAATGTTACTCACATATGGAGTAGATACGAAGCAACCTCAGCATCTGTTTTCAACTTTTTCAATATTAACCCAGGACAGGTCCTAAAGCTCTCATCATAACCCTTCTTTTTCCAGTAATATTCCTCTAAACTTTTCTCTTTTGTAATGTCTCTCAGCCATCTCTCTTTCTACAGTCTTTTTTTCAAATCTTCCTCTTGCTCACTCTCTCTCCTCCCCTATCATGAGTGTGTACTGTATTCTGCTGATTGGCTACAAGTATGTTTTAGTCCGTTCTATTTTGAATCCAGAAATCACTAACTCAGGGCTTGACTTTTTGAGGGCTTAACTTTTTGAGGCATGTTGTCCTTCGGACAAGTAAATTTTTGTTTCACTTGTCCATGCACAAAAGTCACTTGTCCGGGTAAAGATTTATAATTTTATCTAGGGCTGGACGATTAGGGGAAAATGTCATATTGTGATTATTGAGGTCAATATTGTGGTTGTGATATGCGATTGCCATATAATAAACAAATGGTTTCATGAATCAACTTGTTTGGTTCTAAACCAAATGCACACACAGATTAGTGATAATTCTGAAATTAGCAATAACAACTAAATGAGTGATAACACCTATAATGATCAATAAGCCATTGATATCTGGATAAAAATTAACTGTCTAACAGGTAGGACATATACAGAAATTGAATAAAGTTATCAAACAGTCTGCGCTGCATAAATTATAAATTATATATACAAACCCAATTCCATAAAAGTTGGGACACTGTACAAATTGTAAATAAAAACAGAATGCAATGATGTGGAAGTTTCAAATTTCAATATTATATTTAGAATACAACATAGATGACATATCAAATGTTTAAACTGAGAAAATGCATAATTTTAAGGGAAAAATAAGTTGATTTTAAATTTCATGGCATCAACACATCTCAAAAAAGTTGGGACAAGGCCATTTTTACCACTGTGTGGCATCCCCTCTTCTTTTAATAACAGTCTGCAAACGTCTGGGGACTGAGGAGACAAGTTGCTCAAGTTTAGGAATAGAAATGTTGTCCCATTCTTGTCTAATAAAGGCTTCTAGCTGCTCAACTGTCTTAGGTCTTCTTTGTTGCATCTTCCTCTTTATGACGCGCCAAATGTTTTCTATGGGTGAAAGATCTGGACTGCAGGCTGGCCATTTCAGTACCCGGATCCTTCTTCTACGCAGCCATGATGTTGTAATTGATGCAGTATGTGGCTTTGCATTGTCTTGTTGGAAAATACAAGGTCTTCCCTGAAAGAGACGATGTCTGGATGGGAGCATATGTTGTTCTAGAACTCGGATATACCTTTCAGCATTGATGGTGCCTTTCCAGATGTTTAAGCTGCCCATGCCACACGCACTCATGCAACCCCATACCATCAGAGATGCAGGCTTCTGAACTGAGCGCTGATAACAACTTGGGTTGTCCTTGTCCTCTTTAGTCCGGATGACATGGCGTCCCAGTTTTCCAAAAAGAACTTCAAATTTTGATTCGTCTGACCACAGAACAGTTTTGCACTTTGCTAGAGTCCACTTTAAATGAGCCTTGGCCCAGAGAAAACGCCTGCACTTCTGGTTCCCGTTTAGATATGGCTTCTTTTTTGACCTATAGAGTTTTAGCCGGCAACGGTGAATGGCACGGTGGATTGTGTTCACTGACAATGTTTTCTGGAAGTATTCTTGAGCCCATGTTGCGATTTCCATTACAGTAGCATTCCTGTGTGTGATGCAGTGCCGTCTAAGGGCCCGAAGATCACGGGCATTCAGTATGGGTTTCTGGCCTTGACCCTTACGCACAGAGATTGTTCCAGATTCTCTGAATCTTTGGATGATATTATGCACTGTTGATGATGATAACTTCAAACTCTTTGCAATTTTTCTCTGAGAAACTCCTTTCTGATATTGCTCCACTATTTTTTGCCTCAGCATTGGGGGAATTGGTGATCCTCTGCCCATCTTGACTTCTGAGAGACACTGCCACTCTGAGAGGCTCTTTTTATACCCAATCATGTTACCAATTGACCTAATAAGTTGCAAATTTGTTCTCCAGCTGTTCCTTTTATGTACATTTAACTTTTCTGGCCTCTTATTGCTACCTGTCCCAACTTTTTTGGAATTTGTAGCTCTCATGAAATCCAAAAGGAGCCAATATTTGGCATGGCAATTCAAAATGTCTCACTTTCAACATTTGATATGTCATCTATGTTGTATTCTAAATATAATATTGAAATTTGAAACTTCCACATCATTGCATTCTGTTTTTATTGACAATTTGTACAGTGTCCCAACTTTTATGGAATTGGGTTTGTAGACTACTCCTTATTAAAACTACACAAGTTCTTTAGTCAAGAGCAGTGAGTAATTTTCTCTGCTCCCTTTGTTCTTTCATTAACTTTACTGACGCAGCGCGAAAAATGTGTTCGTTTCAAATCGGTAAAATTAAATATGTAAAATAGACGTAACGAGTGGCACATAACGTGAAGTAACATGGCATTTTATTTTGTTTGAAATTTAACTTGTCCGGTCAGACAACTAATTTTCTATTTGTCCTACAAAAAATCCACTTGCCCCGGACAAGCCTTAATGTCAAACCCTGCTAACTGCACCTTTGATAACCATAGGTGAAAAGTCAGCTTAATGAAAGACAATATCAAGACTTTTAGAGTAAACAAACCCATTCCCGGAGAGGCCATGAGGATTCTGGAAACCACCACTTGTGTAATGGCCTGTTGAGCTGCATTTGAAGATTCTCCTAACCGATTGTCATTCTCATCTGTTACTGGAATGCCATGTTTGAGTTCCCTGAGAAACAAAAGGAAAGATGCACTCCATATGACATACTCACTTCATGTCCATTATAAATGAACAGCAACACACAATATTACATTACTGTTTTGAACCACTGCTGACGGTTTGGGGTCAGTAGATTTTCTTTTTTTTAAGGAAATAATTTTATTCAGGCAGGATGCATTAAATTGATCAATAGTGACAGTAGACAGTTATAATGTTACAAAATATGCATTGATAATCTTTCTGTGATCACAAAAAACCATGACTACCGAACAACCAATTCAGAGTAAAATCAGGTCAAACCTCTTTATGCATACCATTTGCTCTAGATAATTATTTACCGTTGTCTCATGAGTGGAATATTGATACAGTTAGCAGCAGCTACAGCAGCGAATGGCACAAAGCGTCCTATGAGTGGGGACACATGCTGAAAAACAGAAAATTAAACATAATTACTAATTAGTACATGAACACATAGTGAGCACCGAGCATAATATTTAATACTTCGATGTGAAAGAGTTAAAACTTATTAGTAAGCGACAACCAGTGATCGAAGTGGGGCGGAAAAAGTGGCATCCCTCCATCTGGTTTAAAGGGATAGTTCACCCAAAATGAAAATTCTGTCAGTATTTACTCACCCTCATGTTTTTCCAACCCTGTAAGACCTTTGTTCATCTTCGGAACACAAATTAATGAAATCTGAGAGCTGGATCACTCCTCCATACTAGTCCATAGGCTTCTTGAGGGATTGAAACTTGCCGGCCTCGAAAAGTTATTAAACACATCGTTAAAATAGACATCGATAAAACATCATTAAAACAGTCCAAGTGACTACAGTAGCTCAATCTTAACTTTATCAAGCAACGAGAACGCTTTTTGTACGCAAAAACAAACATAAATAACGACCTTATTTCAACTATTCACTTCCTTCACTTTGCGCCTCTAGTCAGTTAAACTAGTGTAATTGCATAGAGCTACATCACACGTAGGCTCACTATTGGCCGACGCTGGTCATGTGTGTGATGCGTGTAACGTACAACTAAACTAGTACCCTGACTACTAGCCAAGAGATAAGGAAATTAATATTTGAAATAAAGTCTTAATTTTTGTTTGATTTTTGCACACAAAAAGTGTTCTCATCGCTTGATAAAGTTAAGATTGAGCCACTGTAGTCACTCTGACTATTTTAACGATGTCTTTAATAACTTTTCGAGGCCGGCAAGTTTCAAGCCTAGTATGGAGGAGTGATCCAGCTCGCAGATTTCATCAAAAATATCTTAATTCGTGTTCTGAAGATGAATGAAAGTCTTACAGGGTTGGAACAACATGAGGGTGAGTAAATACTGACAGAATTTTCATTTTTGGGTGAACTATCCCTTTAAATCACGTTTTGGGGGTGCGTGAGAAGTGAGAAGTGCCGGTACACAAGAAAAAGTGAGGGTACGCTACAGGTTAAAATATAGAAGTGTCGGTACTGGTCCACTTCGAACACTGGCGATGACAGACTATTACCTTTGCTAATGCATTTAGTCCTAAAGCAGTAGCCACGGCCCCTGTGGTGGCTGATACATATGCTGTGCCAAGCTGGCTGCAAGGACATATATTAGGAATTTAGGGATATTGCAAATTAGTTGAAAGAAGAAATGCAAAAAGTGAAACAAATATTCAGATGCATGATCTAAAGTCCTCTCACTTTACTGTGATGGGAGCGTCTCCACTCCTGTTGGTGTAGTTGACTATTGCATTGAAAGACTGATTGATCCACTGCCAAAACAGAACTGCTGGAGTCGTTCTAAAAGCAAGAGAAAGAGAGTATAAATATTCAGCACTGTATGTGGTCAAATAGTTCATTATCCAGAAAAAAGTCTTATAGCGATACTGTAGCCACTATAATAATGGATTACACAGCAAAACCCAGCATGATTTACCTGTAGAACGTCATCATGCATCCAGTGATGGTCATGTTCATGGGAACCTGAGCAGACATGCGACCAATCAGGAGCATTTTCTCGCCTGTGTCTGGATGGAATGCCGAGTCAAAAACATACTTCGCCCTCCATAGCTCATCTTCTGTGAGATCCGGTGATACCACACCTTTTCTTCAGGGATAAGAGAATGTAAGTTGATGGCGTACTTGCTTGTACTTGCTCAACTCAGCATATGTAACAATGAATCCAATACAAAAGCACATGCTGTGAGTAAGTGCAGAGTAGAGACTTACTTGTAATCCTGAATAATCTGACGTGCATTTTCTAATTGTTCATTCGACAGGAGGATGTTTCTAGGGTCTGTGACTGTGAAGAAATGCTTTGCGCGACCCACAAATGTTCCCTGATCCCAGCGTGGCTCTTTAATGTTTATGGAGGTGGAGAGCACGGCTGCCATGGTACACTGTGAACATATTACACTGTTAAAACCTTGGATACATTTCATTTAATCTAAATGTCTTTGAAAACAAGTTATTTTTAAAACATTATGTTGGTACCATGACTGGTATAGCAAGAAGCCCAAGAAAGATTCTTAAAAACTACTTCTGTTCTGTTCCACAGAAGAATGACAAGGTTTGGAATAATGGTGAGTACACTTGTGTTCAAAAGTTCAATGATTTTTTTTTTTAATGTTTTTTAAAGAAATCTTTCAAAGGCACCATTTATTTGCTCAAACATACAGTAAGAACGTTAATATTGTGAAATGGCATTACCATTTAAAAGTAAAACAACTATTTTCTATTTTTAATATATTTTAAAATCAAATTTTTTGATTGTAATTTATTCCTGTGATGGCAAAACTGAATTTTCAGCATCTTTACTCCAGTTTTCAGTGTCACATGAACCTTCAGAAATCATTTTGGTTTGATGCTCAAGAAACATTTCTTGTTATCAATGTTGAAACCAGTTGTGCTGCTTAATATTTATGTGGACACTGTGATACTTTATTCTAGTATTCTTTGATAAATGGAAAGTTCAAAAGAACAACATTCATTTGAAATGGTAATCTCTTATAACATAAATGTTTTTACCTTTTAATCAATTTTATGCATCCTTGCTGAATAAAAGTATTGATTTCTCCCAAAATAATAATAATAATAATTACTTGCCCCAGATTTTTGATAGAAAATGTAAAAAGAGAATTTAAATTTCTTGTGAACAGTAAGTTTTTATTTCTTATATGGAGAAAACACTGTACTAAAATAAGAATTTTGGTGGTAAAAAAAAAAAAAAAAAAACTGAATAATGCTTGCACATGACATTCCTTCCCAGATTAGGCCATCGCTGAATCAGCATGCAGTTTCTAAAGACACAGCGGACCAGCCAAGCAAAGAAACTCAGTCACTCTGACAATTAATTTAGGTTCTGCTAGTCCCCATGTAAAACAGCACATCAGGGTTTATAAACAATTGTGAAAGTATAAGATTAGACATTTAGTCACAGGGAGGGTTGATTCATTTAAAAAAAAAAAATCACAATTTTGCTACTCTTTTCATTTATTTTAAACCTGTATGACTTTCTTAAGTGGAAGATAAATAAAATATTAGACTGTAAAGAACTGACACTCAACGTGAAGATTACTGTACTGCAATAATTTTTGTTTAATACTGAAGAAAGACAGCTATAAGGGTTTTAAATAATACGAGGGTAGTGTTTTGGGGGGATTTTTAACCATTTATTTGCTTGAGCATATTTCAAGAAAAAGCTCAATTAAATAAACCACACGCTATAAATGTGCAGCGTGGTGACATTTTCTTTTGAAAATTGAGTGTTTTGAGGACACCAAATACAGATGAAGGGAGGTCACGCGTAAATCACGCGTTTCACTTAAACACGGCTACAAAAGTGGGTCTGTGTCTCTTTAAATCAAATAATGGTTGTGCACGAGATCACTTGAGTCTGCTCGAGCCTGATGCTTTGCGCGCTGCTTCCCTTTTAAAACGCGTTTCACTAATGACTCATTTTTGCTAATCGGTTCTTTTGAACAGTTCGTTTCAAAGAACCAGCTCTGTCATTTTACGTTTTTTATTAAACACTACAAAGCATTAAAGCAATACATAAAAATATGAAGAGAAAAAATGACAACAATATAAACAGACAAAAATAAGTTGCCAGGGTAACATAAAAACAATGCAGTGCATTCACCTTCAAGAGGACATAAATATAGAGGAGATGCTTTGGGATTAACAGAGCTTTGGATAGTTTCAATCTATCTGTCTAAATCATCTTTGAATAGAGAAAAGAGAGGTTTACAGCCAGTAAATTTTAATTTTTTTACGTATGTATGAAATTTAGCTAGAAGGAAACACAAATTAATTATGTAATATTGTCCTGTTTTCTCTTGAGTAGTCAAACAAACCAAAGAAAACATCTTTAAAACAAGAGAAGTCACTTACAAAATTGGATTGGATAAAAATAAAAATTCTAAGCAAAGTTTCTCTGTGTGGGTAAATTGCCAAAACAAACTAATTACGTCTTCCTCGGAAGAGTTCTGTCTCGTTCCAAATTAAAAGAGACGATTCTCGTTGATTCGGAGTCGGACTGAATCGTTCAGTCAATTTCGTGAACAAATTGTTCTGACTGTTTGTGCAAACGATTCACTAAGTAAAGATCCGACTCAAATGAACAATTCGTTCACGAATCGGACATCGCTGCAAAGCAAGAATTCATATCGT